TTTGATTTCTTTTATCCTTTTTTTGAAAATGTTCAACCTAAACAGCCTAACATTTAAAAAAATGTAATTGTGAGATTTTTTCCAACTTTTTTTGTTTGTAGCATGATCCTTATGAGTTGCCCTATTATGCATAAAATAATTAGCTTCCTAACATTCACCAAAGATACAATAATTTTAAACGAAACTTAAAAATTTTCTGTCAGTAGAGTGGGGCTTGAATTTTCAACATTAAATGAAAAATAGTAATAAATGATTTCATACTTTCTAATTATTTTTAAAAACTTGGCAGTACCTTAATCTTTCATAATAACATTAAAAAATGACACTTAATAGGCCAGTTTTTTCTGTTACAGACTTCTGAAGTTACTCAGGCAGGAAACTACCTAAATAGTTAATTTGATTTAAAAAATCTTTTTATCATTTCTAGGATTAAACTAAGATAGTAAATGCTTCAGGTTAGCAAAGAAAACTACTTATTGTTAAAACGTGACATTTATTAAGGTATCATTTTACTACAAACTACATGTTTTTTTTTTTATTTCACTTAAACTAAATGATAGCACATTCAGTCACAAACACACAAAGGAATTTTAAACAAAGGCTCAGGTAAACATTCCTGCTTTGTTACCAGGCCGCACCCCGCGCCCCGCGCCACACCGACCGCGTCCCTTTTTCACCTCGCTCAGTCCCGCCAGTCGTTCACTGCTTTCCCGCGTGCAACCACTACTCACGTTTACGTTTATTTGGATCTCTTATTTGACTACCTTCGCTTTGTTTCCCGGATTCTTGATTTGCCTTACGATTGACCTGTGCTTGTTTTATGGACCCTGAGTTGCTTAGTGATTTGGATTACTTTCAGCAATGAGTTATTCTCTCAGTCAATACGCAGAGATGCACTATTTCTACGGCGTTGCCCAAGGAAACGGCGCATTAGCGACACGGCTTTATCGAGAGCAACTGGAGCGGCGAGGAGAAGTGTTGGAGCATTACCCGGGCTACAGGGTTTTTAATAACACCCACGAAACCCTGATGGCTGGACGCGTTCCTGGGCGTAATCAACGTCGCGAGGGACTACCCAGAGTGGATCCAGAAAGAAGAGATGTAATCATTGAAAAAGTAGAAAGAGACCCTTCTACTAGTTCACGAGCGATTACGAGAAGGACTGGAATCCCAAGGACTTCAGTTTTAAGAATACTGAAATTAGCCGAGTGCATTTTATTATTTTGTAGACCTCTTTATTCAAAATCCCAACACATTGCTGCACTGCCATTTCAAATCACACTCATTTAATTTACTGTGAATTGTCGATGTCTAATGTGTTGTGTGTGCGTGTAAAAGAGAGAGATGTAGAGACCCTTAAACAAGCGCTCGTAATTCAAAAATAGGCGTTAGGACGCCACTCTAGCGAATCCCAACTTTTAGTTTCATTTATATGATCGAAAATTTACTTTAAATAAATTTATCTTAAATTATTTACTAGTTTTATTATAAATCTTGAAATCATTTGTCCAGAACGTAGTAAAATGATCTCTGTTTACACCATTGATATTGTCAATAAATTTTAAACAATAAGTAAAGACACTGGATGTCATTTTTGCTAACCTGAAGCATTTACTATCTTAGTTTAGCCCTAGAAATGATAAAAAGATTTTTTAAATCAAATTAACTATTCAGGTAGTTTCCTGCCTGAGTAACTTCAGAAGTCTGTAACAGAAAAACTGGCCTATTGTCATTTTTTTATGTTACTATGAAAGATTAAGGTACTGTCAAGTTTTTAAAAATAATTAGAAAGTATAAAATCATCTATTACTATTTTTCATTTAATGTTGAAAATTCAAGCCCCGCTTTCTTGACAGAAAATTTTTAAGTTTCGATTAAAATTATTGGATCTTCGGTAAATGTTAGGAAGCTAATTATTTTATGCATAATAGGGCAACTCATAAGGATCATGCTACAAACAAAAAAGGTTGGAAAAAATCTCACAATTACATTTTTTTTAATGTTAGGCATTTTAGGGTGAACATTTTCAAAAAAAGGATAAAAAAAATCATAACTCGAAAACTACAAAAATCGCGGAACATACATAGGGTATTTTCGGATACCCCTAGGTGTAAGGAATCAAAAAAAAAATTATAACCTCACTGTTTGGACCAACCTGTATATATATATAGCTCTCGATTATATCCACAAACTATATAGAAACACTACGGACGGACGTCTCTGGTACCTATATTTAGTTTGGACCGTAGAGCAAATCAGAAGATGACATTTCGTTTTTTTAATATGAATTGGATATAGGCAAAGGAATAATTTTATTTCAGCCTAGTGTAATATATATATATATATATATATATATATATATATATATATATATATATATATATATATAAGTACATACCTATATAATATTTTTATATATATAATTTTAATTACAATTTTATTATGAAGGAGGATTCGTAGAACTAAAATGCATTGTATATATTATTTATTATATGATTTTTTTTTTTAACTTTTTTAAACTCTTTTAAGGCTTTTTTTTGCATTGGTGGCAATGCACACTTTTCGATTTTAATGATGTCCGTGCCTTTCAGAATCCCATCTGTGGTATATGTTATAGAGTAAACATATAATTGCTCTCTTGCTGCTTGCACTTGAATATTTTCAGTGTAAAGGTTCTCTTCAATACATTCGATATCCAGTGTATTGAGCTGGAAAAAGGAATATTTAAATATGTAAATTACAAGTTTGAATATGTGCACTAATTGTAATTGTTGTTGTTTATAAATGTTTGCATAGAAAATGTCAAGAAAAGAAGAGGCCATTGTAATCAGATTAAGTTACTTTCACATAAATCTAAGAAGCTTTCACAATTATACAGAAATTTCCAATAATTTTTGAACATAATTATCATTGATACCTAAGATATTTAAGTATTTTTAATTATATTTTAATTATCAATTGGAGTCTATGTTCATGTTCTACTGCGGGGCACAGACTCTGTGTCATTTCTCAGAGGGGTATGAAACAATGAGTTGGGCAAGGTGCTTTTTTTTAAAAAAAAAAAAACGTTACCCCCACACTAGGATTTTCTCCTGTATTGTGGAGGCACTTTACAAACATATATTGCACAAGGACAAACATCCAGACCCGGAACAATTATATGTAGGCCGTACAAATACTCGTTCCATGCGGGATTCCAACTCGCGGCTCCAAGTTTTGCAACTCATTGCTAAGCCACTACGCCACGGAGCCGGTGACCACATCTTTAAAATATTTTTATTCCTTAGACACACAGATTTCGTCACAATATTCCAGAACATGATAGATTTGCACTTAAAATTGGAATTAACATTAATTCATTTATTTCAATGGTGTAAACAGAGATCAGATTTGCTCAAAAATATAAACATATTACTAATCCTAACAAAAATATTATCTGAACTAAAGTTCTAGAATGGCGATTGTTTTGCAATTTAAATTTTACATGATTATTACCTTAATTTTTTTACTTCGTTGGGAATCACATGTTCTTCATTTAGTTTATCTAACAAGCGCAATTGAGTATGCTTGCAGTCTGTTTAATACACATCATCTTGCCATTTTAATACATTTCCATCAGTTATTATGTGTTTTGATAGCAAAATTATTCCTCATACCTTTTTTATAATGGCTGATCAAATATCACACTAAGTTTATTTGAACTGTATCATCTGAAATAAAAACATAAAAGATTGTTTGTCATTGTCATTCAGACAGCCTTGATTTTGTAATTTGTGTGTGATTGTGCATAAAATAATGTTGATAAATAATTATTTAAATAATAGAATTCCTCATTTAATTCAGCCAACAACTTAAAATTTTAATAAATGATTGTATAAATAATTTATTATTGTTTCATTCATCATTCATTCATTGCAGACTATCATAAAGCTACTGGTAAACATAGGCCTTCATAGGTTATCATATAAGGGGTACATTTTCCATAGTTGTAACACTTGGAGGACAAGTTGGCAACCAGTTTATTATTATTACTAAGTTGTTATCAAAGAGATCACTTGAAATGCCAGGAATTAAGTAGTTTTGTACAGTATGTCCATACATTTTTATTATAATTTTTTAAATTTTATATGAATACTGAATATACTGAGCAGTTATGTTTATTAAGGAATAATTAAATGTAAATACCTTTCATCTTTGATGATAAACCTAACTCAATTTACTCCAAAGAATAGTGTTGAGTTTATCCAACCTTTTTTAGCCTTATTAATGTCAGATTTAGCAGTATGAAACACTATTCAAAAATTTTGTGACCAAGCAGGCTTCTTGAAAAGGTTACTGGAATGCAGCGTACTTCTAAGTTTGTCACAGTGTATAAAGTCCAACCACTTGTTTCTTTGCCCTTCGTCAGACTCTTCTCTGTTACTTGCACAATTGGGAATGAAACACTTAAAAATAGATTTTAAAACCAAAAATTATGTACAAAATACACTAAAGCTAAAGAAAACGTCCCGTCGAAATATATAACCTATTAAACAATAAACAACCTTTAGTAAAATAGCAGTAAAATGCCAATAAAACTTTACTTATAACTTATAGTTAGTTCTAGCTTGCTACATATATATTTATCTATGGTTCATACTTCATAGAAAAACAAAATAAAAATTTCCAAGAAAACTTCTAACTTGACAGTTACGCGACAATAACATGACAAAATGGTGGCAGCGGGTAGGGGCAAGAGGTGGGAGGGACGAGGGAAACGTCATGTTCTGAATTGCTCACTGAATTTCATACGGTCAAAGAGTTTTGCTCAAAGATTACCAGCCGTGATTATATCTATGCTGGCAACACTGGTTGTGATTTGTCATAATACTATATCGTGTTCGGTGTTCGAGATTCGAGTAGGTTTTGTAATTTTTATATTAGTTTCAAATTAGTTTAACTAAATACCTTTATTATTTAAAATTAATGTAAATCGTGTTTCATGGTTCATTTTTGTAGTCATGTCCAAAAGAAAAACTGTAGTGAAAGATATTATTTATGAATTAGACAATGATGACATAGAAATCAGTAGTGAAGATGAAGCTAAGGAAAACAAAAAAATACGTTTAGATATAAACGCTACTTCCGAATTGACTGAAAGTCAGTCTTCAAACGTAATAGAAGTTAATAATTCTATAAATAGTTTGTGTAATACCGAGACTGATAGTCCTTATCAAAATGGAGGGAAAAATTCCCCTGATATTGTGTTAATTGAAAACAGTAAAAACCTTAAAGATGTTGATGAACTTGACTCTTTGAATGTTACTTCAGTTAATAGGCATCAGAAAAATTGTACTAATTGCCCTGAAACAATAATTTTTAATGAGGACATCGCTATTGACTCTCCGGGGTCTCATAATGATTTGGCGGTAATTGGATGCGAGAACAGGGCTCCACTCATAACGGTGCGCTTTAGAGACAGTCAGCTAGCTAATAAATTCAAAGAGAAAATAAAAATATTTATTGTTGATCTACTTAAATTACATGAGCATGAAGCAGATATTGATTTGGGAAATGACTCTGACTTGGATCTTGATGTATGGCCCGAAGACATAAAAGACGAAAATCCTCAGAATCAGGAGGATGAAAAGTTTGAGATACAGGAGGTTAGAGAGCCAAACCGACCAGAGGTTGAGACTTCTGATGACTTGTTTTTTGTTGATACAGATCCTCATGATGATTTAAAACATGAAGTACCAAAATATACGCAAGTAAGTATTTTATTGCTGGATAATTATTGTAATTTCGTGTTCATACCAATAATTGTATAACAGCCTTACATGTACAATTATTGGTATGAATTGTGAGCACAACTGTGACATTGGCAATGGTCATAGAAGATCTATAAATCAGTCTCTTGGGGAAATACCAGGGTAAAGTTTGGGTATGATGAACATTGTTTCACTTAATTGTTCCATTAGTTAATCTTCTTCATCTATTAGATGTTTAACTATCATTTATGTGCAGTATATAGTTTAGAAAATCTACATGTGCAAATACTGTCATCACTTTGTGCTCATTACTTGCTCTGCTATTTTCTTCTTCTTTCTTTATTTTGATAGTTCGCCAATGTCAGTATGAAAGTGTTTACTGAGTAGAATAGCTCAGCAGACACAAATTAAATATTGAAATGAATTTTTTTTTCATCTGACCATTTTTGTCATTGCATTTAGTTTAATTTTTTGGTACAGCTTTTGTGATTTTTTTAAATAATTTTGTTTAAAAAATGATGGATTTTTCCACACTTTGATGTTTTGGTATTTGTTCTTCCCCTTCTACCATAAATATTTCAACCAATATTTGGGGTTGATTTTCCGAATCAAAGTCTAAAATCAAACTATTTAAAATTGCCTGTGTTGAACATTAACATTGAAATAAAATTTTATTATTTTAAATTTACATAAAAATAAAAATTTACTGATTCAGCTAAATGCCTACATCTCTCTTTTATTTTATCTTCAGGTTTCATCTGTTATTTCAAACTTGGATGAAAAAGAACCAGAGTCTTCAATGGTCACACGCAGAGGTCCTATATGCTTCAACTGTGATGGAGATCATTATCTGAGAGACTGTCAGTTACCAAGAAACAATACAAGAATTGCTGAGAAACGAAAAAATGTTACATCAAATAAACTAGGGTTTGCATAGCCTTTAGATGCATCTCTTTGCTATTACTATCATCTTCTTCAGGAGCCTGTAGAAGTCCACTGTTGGACATTACATCTATTACCATTTTATAGTTTACTGATTTATGTATCTGTTTTATGAGTTATAGGTTTGAATTTTTATCTAACAAATGTTCTGTATGTATTTTATATTGCATCTGAACCTTTTTCTGAATTTATATCCATAATGTTAGTGATATATGACTGCTCTATTTTGAATCTTATGCAGATAATTAGAGTTACCATCAGTTTTCCATGCAGATCGACGAGTGGCAATTAAATGACAAATTTCATAAATATTGAAGTCCACTTCTGAACTTCAATTGCCTCAAAGGCAGGCAGCGCAGAGTAGCCAGCCTCTTGGTATTCTATAGAATGTATTTTGGTGAATGTGTGCAGGAATTACATGCTATAATTCCTTCTCATTTTCACCATCAGACAATCAGGCTGTCGGCGGGTCTTCGAGCCAAACGGATTGCTTTGTCTTTTGCAATGCGTACAGTAAAGGAGTGGAATAATTTGCCAGTGTCTATCTTTTCACCAAGTGGGATTGTGGTCAAGCACTGACTTATAATAAGTAAAAAACAGGGGGATTTCTATTAGTTGCTTCACTTAGTGGTTAGTTTGGCAGTTCATTTATTATTTTCGGTTGCTATCAGAAAGATGCTACTGTCCATCACCTCTTTCAGTTTCCCTCTGTTACATCTTACGACACCCATGGGATGATAAGGGCTACTGGATATTCTTACACTGTTACTACACAGCGCTTTGCTTACTCAGGCCCTTAAATAGTATATCACAAAAATATCAATTATCTCATCAAAAAGATGGAAACAGTCAAGGCCAAAAGTGTCAAAAAGCCAGTGCGACTATACTTTAATTGCTGCTTGCGACGTATCTGCTTGACCCTGTTCAAACTGAACCAATGTTAATATAATAAAATCCATAAAATTAGTTTTATTTAAATGAACCAATGTTATTCATTCTCTCTATCAAGCAATAACCATGTCCCAGTCCATCATTGGTAGTCTGTAGATGTTTGTTTGCAGACTACAAACACTGAAAATTCACAACCCATGATCACTTCATAGTTTGTACATTGTGAAGAGCAATGGGCAGAGGCCAACGTCTTGCGAGATAGCTTGGCAGATGACCGTTGCTCACTGACTCTCCATGGGATTGTGATCCACTCTATATTGTCAGCCCAAATTAACATGCCTTTCCTCAATGTAATGAAAAATCAATCATGGTAAAATTATGCTTTTATTACAAATAAGCTAATATGTTTACTTTCTTAAAAAGAATAAATTAAATTTTGTTGCTTGTATGAACAACACTTTTAAGAGACAAAACCTTAAACAAAATAAAAATAAATTTTGGCAGGTAACAGAGTACAGACAGATTCTAATATTACTTTAAAAACCAAAACAAACAGCCAGAATATAATTTTTCACATATCTTAGTGTTTTCACATAGTATGCATTATAGTATGATGCAGCAAAAGGGTTTAAGTTTTTAATGGACTGTAGTCATTACTTAATATGTGATTAATAAGTGAACTTGTGCTTCTTATTACTATTTAAAGTATATATTAATATTCAGACTATTCAGTCTGAAGTAGTTGTGTATCCACAAGAATATCCAAAGTAGTCTTGTTTTCAATCCGTTTGTTTTGTCAAGCATGATTATTTAGGTAAATACTCCCGACAATGGAGGGGCTGTTATCCAGCAATAGATTCTTAATAGGTGATGAAAAAGAAGAAGATATATATTATATTGGCATACTGTATAATATGTACAAACTTTATATTTAAAATATTATAGTGATGGCATATTTAATAGTTATAGTTTTACCTAGTGACAAAACTCCTAAATATAAATTTTATTTTATTTATTACAGGAGGTATCATGTAGAAGATGAACAGAAGTATGGCCATCTTATTCCTGGCAGAATATCTAATCAACTTCGACATGCGTTGGGCTTAAAAAGACATGAGTTACCACTTCATATATATCGCATGAGAATGCTAGGCTACCCTCCTGGCTGGTTAGAGGAAGCCAGAATATCTCATTCAGGGATAACTATGTTTGATTCACTTGTATGTTTAATTTTTATAATAATATTTTTATAACAAAAATAGTTACCTATTGTTATTGCATTATTATAACCTTTAAGATTATGTTATTAGGGCCCGATAATCTGTTTTACATTTTAGCTTAAAAATGTTTGTTCAGGGCAATGCTATTTTGGATGAAGATGAAGATGAGGGTGAGATATGTGAAGTGGGCTCTAAAGACAAGTTTGATATTAAGAAGATCCTTGATTTTCCTGGTTTCAATGTGCCAGCCAGTTCAAGATATAAAGAGGTTAGTTTCCCTAAGAGTATTTATTTGGTGACAGTTTTCCAATAATAAGGTTTTTACTAGTTCTGCCTTAGTATATAGCTGAAAAATTAATTGTTAATTTCTGGCTAATGTGGTCTTTTCTCAGATGTGTTGATCTATTTACTGAATTTCCACCTTTTTATAAATTGGGTGAAAATGGGCAATAATTTGTAATATTTTCACACAGTCTACTTGATGGGGCACATAGAAATCTATATTTATTTTTGATTAAGAATCACAATGCAGATGCGTTGTCGCCATTGACGAATAATAAGAAATGCCTCTTTTTCAATAAAAAGGATCTTCATTCCACTCACGATACTAAACACAAGAGCATTCTTAAATCTCTAAATAGATTAAAAAATATTGTTTATCCTTGTGTAACATCCCTAATTCTACCCTATTTTGAAACCAGTTATGAAGCTAAATTACTAAATCCTAAAATCACTCTGAATTTAAGCATAAATAAAAATTACCCAACTGCAAACAGAACTTTCTACAACCTTGTATTAAAAAAATAACCTGATTGGCTGTATATTTTTACTGATGCTTCCAAATTGTCTTCGTTCAAATGTGTCGGTTCTGCAGTCTGGATTCCTAAATATAAAATTGTCCTTAATTATAGATGTACACTTCCAAATTGTCTTCGTTCAAATGTGTTGGTTCTGCAGTCTGGATTCCTAAATATAAAATTGTTCTTAATTATAGATGTCCTCCTCAGGCTTCTGTTTTTACTGGGGAAGCTGTCACCTCATATGAGGCTATATCCTATATTCTTTCCCATAAAATTACTAAGTCAGTTATATTTACTGATTCAAAAAGCTGCCTAATGTCATTATAGAGCAATATATTTAAAATGAAATCCATCTACCCATTAATACTGAAAATTAAAGAGCTCATACTAAATTGTGATGAGAGTGGGCTTAAGGTAGAGATTGTGTGGATTCCTAGTCATTGTGGCATAGAAAGAAATTAACAGGCTGACTCCTGGGCCAAAGGAGCTGTAGATACTGGCTGTCCTTCTTATTTAATGAATTACTCTCATGATCTAATGTCATTAGCTCAAATTGAATTAAAGGATTCTTGGGCAGAGAATGGAGTATATCCAGACATATTAAAGGTTGCCACTATGGTAAAATCTAACACAAAATTCTTCCAAAACCTTGGTTTTTTAAATTTAGCTTTTTGAACAAACAAATCACATTCTACAATCTGCCGTTTAAGGCTCGGGCATGTCTGCACTCCTGTATTTTTAGCTAAAATTAGAATCAAAGATCATTCCCTCTGTGAATGTGGTCTGGATGAAGGTACTCCAGACCACATTTTCTTCAATTGTCAAAATCACCTAATTTCTTTATATGACATTCTTCCCAAAACAATCCCTCGACCACTGAATATTAATTGCCTCTTAACTATCCCTGATTCCATATATGTCAATATGGTCGCAAAATATATTCAAATGTATAATATTAAACTCTAATTATTGTGTACTAAATTTAGCGAAATTAACCTAATTCTCTATTCCCTGCTCAGGCTAATCCCCTCCTATAACTAGATGTTTGTTCTATATTGTGTAGTCCACAATTCGTTGCTTTGTCTTTATCCACATTTTCACCAAATAACCACTTACTCCTTTTGCCACCGAAAAGCCTCAAGACAAGGTGTGACAGACCAAAGACCGGACATTGACAGAATTATTGTGACATAACCACAATATCAAAGGCCATATTGATAAAAAAAAACACAACAGCATTAACTGCTTTCTTACACTGGTATTCTCTGAAAGCATGGTCCTTCTCCATTGAAGCCAAAATATTCGTGCTAAAATAAAAAATGTAGTTCCAACGTGTTGCTACCCTATGTATAAAATCCACCATTTTATCAATATTTACTTTATTTTCAGGAAGGTGATATTCTAGGTATGCCACCAATGTCAGAACAAGACAGCAAGATGTTAATGCTCCAGACTTTGGCACCTAATGCCATGAAAGCGTACAAACGAAAGAAGTTAACATTCTTTCCTTCCAGTACACCAAACAACACTACACAAGATAGTATAGCAGAGATGGAGTTGGATAGCGGAGATGGTTTGTTACTTTATATGATTCAGAATCTAAGTTTTATTGCCTAACTTAAAAAAATTATGAATATGAATGAATATTGCTAACAAATCGTGTAGTGGCGGTGTAAGAATATATTCTGTTAGTTTAGATAACGTCGCCTTTGTGTCAAGTAACCTTGGAGCGTGCCGCATCTTGTCAAAGGTGCCTCCGCGACGTCAAAGTTCGTTGCATGCGGCGTACACCGACAGGAGAATTTTGCATTTTAAAACTAAGCGTCGTAGTGAAAGGTTCTTTGCTACCTATCTGCCTACTTGTGTTTATTATTTATATTCGTATTTTATCACAATAACGAATTCCATTCTAAGAATAATTAGAGTTCCATTCTAAGAATAAAATAGTATTCTATTTTATTCTTAGAATGGAAAAATATTTATTTAACAAACACAGTAGAAAGTAATAAAATAAAAGCAAAATAATAAGTGCGCCTCCGGGTGTACCGACACTTTGTTGGCGAACAGACTATACCCATTATCTCATATTATCTCTCCTGGGTATTGTAAAAGGCGACAGAGGAAACAATAACAACTAAAAATAAAAAAATCTGTCAAATTATCCTAAGAGGTAATCTATGGGGGAGGCTTATGTTTGCTGTGGACTTTTGTAAGTCTGTAATGGTAATAGAAGAATATAAACTAGGCTATTATATGGTAATGGTTTAAGGTCAGTAGCTGTTAAGTTTTTCTGAGAGGTATACCTACCTAGAGTAAATGCCTCTGGTGATAGTTTTACTGAAATTGTTAATTTCAGTGTATTTATTTTTCAATGGCAAAGTGTTAAGAAGTGACTAATACTACATTATAATGCTCACATTTGTAGTAATTCTTGTAGCCCAGCGGTATAGATGGGCTATGTCGTTTTAAACTAGATTGTGGGCTTATACTGTAATTGTTAATAACATATTCATTTATTTGCGGCTTGTAATAAACTAGAATTTCAGCTTGTAATTGGAATTGCTTGAATTTAAAGCGGCCTTCCTCTGCCAGTCAACCCAGGCAAGAAATATTTGTTGGGTGTATGAACTAGGCGTTCGCGGGAAAGTCCAGATAAACCTTATGGCTTCCGATGGATGGTGTTGTATCATCTCTTATCAAGCACAGCATCAAAGTTGTCATCTAATACTACGATTGTAAATGCGCAAAAGGGCTCATGCCCTGCTATAGACTTACGGGGTGATAAATATATGCGTGTGTCGTTACATCTCGTTATTATAATAAGGGTATCTTAGAGGCAATAGTGCATAGGCTTTTATGCACTAGAGCGGTACGATTTATCATCACTGGATTGTAGTCATGTACTGGCTTATAATAAGTAAAAAAATATAAATGGGTACTACAAGATGAAATTGATATCATTAGCATCCTTTTAAACTAAGAATATGAGTATACTCATGATAAAAACTATGTTGGGACTAAAATAACGCAAAAGCATTTATTTTGCAAAAATGAAAACTTTAGAAATTATAATCCAGCCAATTTAGATTTGACTTAATTATTGTTTTATATTTTCGTACACACCGCATGCACTTGCTATTTTAGTACCGTGCTCTCCATAGTCACATTTAATTCACACCTTTTAAAATACTTAAAACCAAATTAAATTACTTGTCTTTCTCCACTATGAATTATCAATTCACTTTTATTCTTACTAATAGGTAAGGTCATTTTTTAAAAATTAATGTAGGTCACAAATAAAAGACGCTGTCGTTCCGTACGTCGCTCTGATTTCAACTAGTTTAAGATTAGCCTTCAACTAGTGTGTGATCTTGACTTTATAATTTTATGCGTCCTGATTGGTCAGTGGCTAGGCTGGCGAATAACGATGACTCACTATTTTCTTAACGCGAATGGATTTTTCACGGGATAATTTTTGCAAATAATCACAAAAAAATGTATTAAAAACTAAATAAATAATAAACACAATTAAATCCTGAACTCACAACTGCAAACACAGTTTATCAATCTGAATTAATGGCCAGGGCAAAGAAAAATCAAAGGTAGCATGTATTTGTAACGAGTCAAAGACATTACACTCGTCAGAGATCACGGCGTCTTGGTACTATGCTTATTTATTTTTTTACCGTTACTGCTTTTTATCGTTTATTAATTAAATTTACTTTATAATGTTCCCCAATATGAGTAGAACAATAGGTTCTATGGATGCCAAATACTTCAATTTCACACAGTATACAGGGTTATTTTGCAATAACCGGCCAAATTTGCAGAGAAGGTTTAAAATAAGTAATATAGGCATATATTAAATGGTGAAGAAAAATTAATTAAAAAAAATCTCAAACATTCTGTCCTTTTTAACTTTTAAATTCGAAATGCGTGTTAATACATTATTTTAACTGATTTTACTGCTCTCGCATTCGTAAGGGTCGATTGGTAGGCAAAAACGTTGCTGCCCATAAAACACATTCAATTTGTTATACATACTTTCAAATAAAAGTAGAAGCCTTATGTACTCGTATTTAAAAAAAAACTGCAATAACAGTATATTATTATTAATATATTTGAACTAAGTTTAAAATTTGGTTTCTCTTTGAAAAATAACCCTGTATACTGTGTATAAGGGTAGCTTGATTTGCAGTTTGTATCATAGGGGTATTTTTTGTTTTTCAGTAGTATGCATATTATTGAGACAAAATTTTGTCAACAGAAGTGGCAGAGTTTCCGTCGGTACCACCACTACCAGATGAAGCGCCACCTCCCCCACCACCGCCCCCTAAATCCCCACCACCTCAATCGCCAAAATCTGTAGATTCAATATGTATTAAAAACTCAGAAGACAAGGAAAAGATATTGGATGATAAGTCAAGAGTTAACCAGAAGGAAAAGTCTAATCCCAAGAAAATAAACAATGACCAGGCAAATGATGATGTGGAGGTGATCTCGGTGATGAAGGTGACAGACATACCTGTACCGGAAGAAGATTTAATCGTTATTGACGAGGATATTGAAGTAAGAATATCACAAAACTTAATAATTAATTTAATTTATGATTTTTTTTAATCAAAATTGGATTACGGAAGGCTCTGTTTACAGCTGTTGGATGTTATTGTAAATAAAGGTATAAATTTTAGGAAATTGATAATTAACTATTTGTATTTGCACTTCTTCATTCAGTGATTAAGGTCTAAAAACATAACTGGGAAGCACCCAAAATTTTTATACCTCTTGGTGCGAATGGTAAATGTGTAATCCCCAATGGGGTCCAGCAAATAGAAACAGCCGTAATCCTAAACTGGGTATTCGAAGCTTTATGCCTTCGAAAATTTTAAAAATTTCTTCTGCTTTGATTTTGTGTGGCTATTTCCAGAACATATCACTGAGTGACAGCTGTAGAAACAGTCCCACCTTGGACGATTTGGAAGAGAAGAAAAGAAGATTGCTCGATGCTCTTGGAGAACGAACGCCGTCAAAAGTTTCTGATGATATTACAGCGATGGAAACAGAAACTAATCATGACAGTGCAGATGAAAAGCAAGACAATGAGCTTAACATCGAAGACAATAAAAACTTAGAAAAAGTGGAAGAGAACTCGAGTGAAGCTGTAAGTACGACAGAAGCTTCATCTTCAAATGTCCGACAAGTAAGTACTGACATAAACGTTAGTGAGCCAGGGAATTCAGACCCAGAGACGTCTAAAACAAAAGCGGGGAATGTTAGAACAACTCTCTATGGTACACCAGTTTTAAACATCGCGTCCCCGTACGTTAAATTACCAAGTGACGATAAATTCGCAAAGGACATATGTGACGTAATAAACTTTGAGAATTTACCAAATTCGACGGGTAATTTCAAAAAGATAAGTAGTTTACTTAAAAAGGTTAAAAGTGAAGTGGACAGAATCCAGGAATCATGATCGATACCCACCGCCGATACTGGGCGGTTGAACTCTAGTTAGTGCATTGAAATGATCTAATCATTTTGAAATTCTGTTGTATAAATTAGTAAGAGTAACATTTAAGATGAAATTATATATTTTTTTATAAGGGTAGAATACAATGACCGCCTAAGTACAGAACTATATTGTAAATTACTTATTTTGGGTCAGGAAAGTTAAGTGTGTTATATGGACAGTAATGCTTTATAAACTACACTTGTTTGTAACTAAACTTTACTAAGGCAGAATAATGATGCATATTTGATTTTCATGAGTAGCAGTTTTTAGAATGAAATTTACTTTGTGTCTACTGTGTGATCCGTGATAATAATATGATTTGTTTAGATATTATGTAGAGTGAGGTTAAAATCTATGCTCATCTATTACATACATATATATACAGATGCATTTTTTTTTAGATATTATTACTCTATACTTTAACTAGTTACTCTTAAAAATATTTCAATTATTATTTGGTAGGTATGGGAGTGACAAAAATAATATAATATATAAAAATTAATGATTGCGGTAAAACTCTGTCAACTTATTAAATTAACAAATAAATTAACTTACAGTAGGTAGCGCGCGTATTGTACCGACAATTTTATTTGATAGTTTTAAATATCATTCAAGTTCAATGAATGTATTATCATTTCTAATTAAACATAACTCTTCCAAATTTAAAACGCTATTTCCACAATTATTTCTTCTGTGGCAGCAACGCGCCGGATACGAGTATTATATAAAAATAATAATAATTATTATTATTTTCCAAATGATGGGAAAGAAAGATCTCAACAGATAGGAAAAGTGTAGGGTGGCCCCCCACTTTAGATGTTATGAGAACCTGGCAAGAGATGCAGACAGTCTATGGAAGCACAGGCTCAGGATCGTGCTTTGTGGTGTTCCATAGGGGAAACTTGTGTTATAGACATGTGATGGCATGGTGATAGTAAAGTTGCAGCCTATTTACATCCCACTACGGGGCACAGGCCTCCTCTCATTCTGAGAGGGTTTTAGGGCAAGGAAACGTCCGCCGCGCTGCCCCAATGCGTGTTGGCGAACTTCACATGTCGTCGAAATATTTTTTTTCTTATTTCTCAGACATGCAGGTTTCCTCACGATGTTTTCCTTCACCGCCGAGCACGTGGTAAATCAGCACTTAAAATTGCAATTAACAACTTCATTAGTGCCGGCGGGGATCGAACCCGGGTTGCTCGAGTACTGTGAAGCTTACAGCGAGCGCTAACCATCTGAGCTACCACGGCTCTCTTCTTGGTGATAGTGATGATGAATAATAGTTAGATATGGATATCATATTTGGACCGATGCTTAAAATATTTCATTATTGACTGATTTCCCATTAATATTAGCATCGACTTATAAGCCAACCAAATTTAGTGGCACGGATTCGGAGAATTTCAAGTTTGACCTTGTAAAAATCATATCAAACAAACATAAAAAAATAATGAAAGTTCGTTGAAATTTAATTAATAATCTCTTGCTGATATTGCACAAATTTATTTAGCGTTGGTACATAACTTTCCTATTACCTCTTAATCGCCATATATGTTCGGCATAATTTAACGACGCAAATTGTCATTTTATATTTTTAAGTATATATATACTTATACATTATTTGCTACACCAAGCATTTATACGACAGATATTTTAGGGGACGAAATCAGACAAATAAATGACCAGGTTGTTCTTAACTTAGGTAATTGGTGTACATTGTGCAATACGGCCAAAAACGAAGGCGTTAAGTAATAGTGGTAAATTGTTAATTTGCGAAGCAGTAATGAAAAAGAAAAAGCTTTTTATGCATGTCTTTGGTAGATAATAGTACAAACAATCTCATCTCTCCACCCCTTCAAACTTTACATATCAAATTTTCTTGTTATTTGACTTATTAATATTTAACTTTGCTCAACACAGGTTGTGTATAAATAATACACTGATTGAGAATAAATGTACTAGTAATTATCAATAAATTTTTAAGACTTCCATCTATTTATATCCCCATGTTTTGAAAATGGATGATGAGGCGACGTAAACATACAGAGAAATAAATGATCAGGTGATTCCCCCTTGAATTTTACATACCCAGAGTTGTTCCTAACTCTCAACTTAGCTAAGTGGATTGGTGTATATTGTGCAATTTAGCCAAAGCTAAGGCTAAAAATAAAAGCGGTGTGTTGTACATTTACAAAGCAATATTAAAAAAACCAAAGCTTTGAACTGAGTTCGTTTAGGTACATTTGACAGATTTAAGGACAAACATTCCCAACTCTTCAACTCTGTTACATGATGTGTTACAAGACTTTTTAAGACAACCATTTTTACATCCCTATGTATCTTATTGTTTAACAATTGAAATTGATATTTAAATTGAAAATTTATGTAACAAAAAATGTAAATAACCACAATTATTTACATATTACTGTTCATATTTACAAAGACTGCCTTTCCTGATCCATTTGACAAGAGAAACTTATTATGTTATCCTGATCTGTCCTTCTTTAAAATTATGTTAACGTGTGAAATAAATTCTAAATATCGGCTACATATATCTTTAATCATGATATTTCCAGAATACTTGTTCAATAGCAACTTTGATTGATTCCTAAAAATCCAGAAATACATAAAATTTGAGCTTATATTGTTTTTTATCTTAAGCTCTCCGCTTAAACCAACCTTGATCAGGAGGCGTTTTATTTGAGAGAATGCATAAATACTCGTAACTTAGTATGACGGTAAGTAGTGTTGTTTAAATATAGTTTGACCTTAAACAATATTTTCACCATTAAACCTTAAAAAAAGGTTGTCACTGAGGAAGGAGAATGAAAACATTCTTCGTAAACATTACACTACGTTGTTTATTGGTTTATTCAATTATGTAGCGGTGCACGACACAAAAATCGAAGGTAAAATACTAAATAACATTTTGAAATTTATATTTAAATTTTTTAATTTTAAAATACCCAAATCTTTTATTAATATTGTGTACTTCCAAAAACCGGTGTATAAATATCGTTGTATCAAACTTTTTGCAGTTGTACAGTGATGACTCAGCCGCTAGTGGATAATTCCATTTGATAAGCCTCACGGTGGCGCACATTGAAACGGAACCAATTGATTATTTAATATTTACTACACCAACTGCTACAAAGATTTACTTATGGTTTTTAGTTACACAATATTGATAGGCACAGTCTTCATTAATATATTTATTTAATTTATCTGATTTAACTTTATTTTATTGGATGCAATATCGACCTGAGTGTACTTTATGTAGAATCTAGAATAGATTGAATATGCACAACATCCCTGGTGTAAACACATTAAGATATACCATACAAAATTTTGACGCAATCAAATATATATTTTAATGCTATATCTAAATTAGTAAATAGGTTCATTGTTAATAATTTGCATATAAATGGCACTAAAAAGAAATGTATGAAATTTATGACTCCAAATGTCAAACAATTAAATACTAATGTAACTTTAAATGGGAAAGAACTGAGTCTTGTCGACACCACCATTTTTCTTGGAATCTCACTAGACGCGAAGCTTTAATGGAGCCCCCATATATCAAAACTAGCTAGCAGACTTAGTTCTGCAGCACATGCTGTAAAAAAAAAATAAGAAATCTTACCAGTGTTAAAACAGCTAGTCTAGTTTACTTTAGCTATTTCCATAGCATAATGTCGTATGATATTTTGCTATGGGGACACGCAGCTGACACAGAAATTATTATATTTGTTTTACAGAAGAGGGCCATAAGAGCAATTTATGATTTAAAGCCTAAAGAGTAGCTGCGACAAAAATTTAAGGAAATTAATGTATTAACTTTGGCCTCTCAATACTTTTATGAAAATGTAATTTACGTACACAAAAATAAGTGATATTCATTCTGTAAATACTAGGAACAGACACAAGCTAGTAATACCAGTTACTCGACTGCACAGAGTCAGTAATTCATTCTTGGGGCGATGTATACGCTTTTACAACAAAATTCCAGAAAATATACAAAATTTGACCTCCTCAAAGTTCAAAAACTTAATTAAACTAAGTTTGTATAAAAAGGATTATTATAATATTAGGGAATTTATGGACGAGAATAACCCCTGGGAATGAGGTAATCGCTACCAAGCTATTTCTAAAAAAAAGTCCCGCTGCGTTTTTTGCTGGTTCTTCCCAGGACAGAAGTTTTTTTCCGAATCATTGGTAAATAAACAAAAGAGTGAGTTTGAATAACTATTATTTATAATCTATATTGAATAAAAAGTATCTGTTTCTTTTTCTGTACAATTTACGGAAGGGTTTGTATGAGGTCTGCGAAAAGTGGCGTAAGTCTTGCCGTACATTTGGAGATGTCTGTTCAGTTGCCTTTACGCTGTTCTATTTGATGAAGACTAGTTTCATTTCTCATTTATTTCACAGTCGTTTTTGGGTATGCGACGGGTTTGCAAGCCCTATGTACAGTTTACAGGACCTTGTCATTTAACTTCATAAGTCATGACTAATGTTATTCTATCGAAAATCCGGAAATCTCGGTTTCATCTCAGTACCCGAACCAAAATCTTCGATACTGTGTTATGAACTGTTTCTGCAAACTAGTACAGGTTTACCGAAAGTCAGCCGCGCTGTTGCAGTGCAAAAGCGAATTTATATATATTTATATAATTTATATGTACAGTGTGTAAAGTCGGAAGTTGCTCTTTAGTTTATAAAGTAAAAAAAAAATCAAAGAATATATATTTATGATAGATTTTGTAAAAAGTAAACGAGAAATATTGATTTATATATATAAAAATACATTATAAATTTTATATTTCAATTTAACGAATATTTTTTTTACCTGTGCCTCAAATCTGCAAAACGATGTCCGCCATATTAGATAGCGTTGTTACGTCACTAGGTCAAAGAACTAGCTTATGTGCTGTGTACTAACTAGCTAATTTCGAAATTTT